GGTGCTTCCCCTCTGGAATTCTGCCTCCCCATTGCTTCCCCTGGCTTCCCCCCAACACACCCGGGGGACAACAGAGAACCCGGCCGCTGCGTTTCCAACCAGGAAACCTCTCAGCCCGCCTGGCTTAGCTCTGATCTGCCAGACGGCCTGTTGCAGTGTGGGGTAACTTCTGCCTCCTGCAGCTGTCTCTGCCACAGAAGGGGGCTTAGCACCAACTTTTGTTGAGTGGAGGAGGGTGCTTGGCTCCCGCGGGCTTTCCTTAGCCCCGCGATTGTCTATGGATCAAACATCCCCTTGATGGGAGCTTCCAGCATCACAGTATGAGGGAAAACATTGAATGGATTGAAATATTCATCATGAACGAGGCCCTCAATTAATTAATTAATTACTTAATTAACTAATTAATTAATTAATTCCTTCCTTCCTTCCATCCTTCCATACTTCCACCTCCCTACCTTTCCTCCCCTTCTTTCCTTCCTTCCTCTTTGTCCCCACCAACAGATGCCCCTTGGTGATTTTTCACACCATCACATTCTCACTGTTTTGACACCTAAAGAATGGTGACCATTCCAATTCCTTGTCCCTTTGCCAGGCAGTAGCAGATTTCAGAGTCTGGCAGGTCAGTTTCCTGTCCAGAGGAGAAATCGGTAAAGCAGATCTCAGGGTATTTCTCAGTGTGATTTGCTTAGTTTCAAGATAGACAGATGGGAGGGATGGGGGTGGATGTAGATAGATAGATAGATAGATAGATAGATAGCGTGGATGGAGATAGATAGATAGATAGATAGATAGATAGATAGATAGATAGATAGATAGATAGATAGATAGATAGATAGATAGATTGAATGGGGAGAGATAGATAGATAGATAGATAGATGTGTGTGTGAATAGATAGATAGAGGGGGTGGATGGAGAGAGATAAATAGACAGACAGACAGACAGGGGGTGCCCTGGCCATTAGGCACCCCTAGGGGTAGCTGCCTGGGGGACCTGGGGAAAGGCCTCAGAGCCCAGACACAGGCGGGATCTCACCCTGCAAGGACTGTCCGGCAGCAGCGAGTATCACCCGGGGCTCAGACCCCAGTGACCGTGATGCCCATGACATGAGCCCCTGCCACCCCCCTCACCCGGCTGCTGCTTGGCAGTTTTCCAGAGCTGCTCACCGCAGACAGCCCCCAACGCAGTCTCATCGGTGCCCGAGAGCGGCAGCGTCGCTGAGAGACTCTTCCCCAGCTGCAAACCCGACAGGAACCTGGAGGAGTTGGTGTCTCGCCTGAACCAGAGCCTGTGCCATGCAGCCCAGGGGCCTGCAGGTACCTGTAGCCCGCTCGGTACACTGCAGGGGGCTGGGTGGATAGAGGGGCTGGAGGGGGCTGGGTGGGGCTGGGTGGATAGAGGGGCTGGAGGGGGCTGGGTGGGGCTG